TAGGTGCACAATTGAAGGAGCCAAAGGGGATGCTCTAACCCCATAGGAAAAAACAACAGTATCAACTAACCACCCTTGGAGCTCCCAGAGATTGAACATTCACAGAACTGCCTCATCTGGCCTCAGGGAGAGAATGTACCTCATCCTGTAGAGACTTGATCCCTCAGGGAAGGAGGGTGAAGAAGTTAGGAAGGTGAGTAGATGAGGAGGATGGGTGGGTAGGTGGGGGAGCATCCTCTCAGAGGCAAAGGAGAAGGGGCTGGGGTAAAGAACTCAGGAAGTGGGACTGGGATGAGGCCAACATTTGGGATGTAAATAAATACAATAATAAATAAAAAATAGAATATATAAAAAACCCACATGATGTAATGCTGACTATAGTTTATTGGTAACTCCACATGTGGGAGTGGCATGATCTATACCAGCTATAGGACAATAGCTATGGTAGGTGAGGGGAATGTAGGGATTGGCAATGGAAGTGAAAAGGGGGTAAATGGAAGTTCATCTCCCATCTGAAGATAGGATACTATGGCTTTTATGTGGGTTATATTTAGGTATGTGTGTTATATTTAGATACAATTCTTGTATACTCTACAAGGTTCACAACATATATATGTGCACTTCTATGTATATCCCTTTACAAGTATGTATTTTTAAAAACTGAAAACACAAGGTATTTATCGAATAAAGCATCAACTTTGGTACTTATGTGATTAAGAGACTTAAAAACGTGCTAAAGGGAAGAGTCAAGCTCTGTTTTCACTTCTTCAGTTTTCTCAAGAAGGTTTTTTTTATAAGAAATTTCCTTCTCTGCATTTGGTTTTTCACATTTTTTTATATCTTCTTCAATCTAGTTTGCAATAAGCAAAAGTTTTGTGAGATAAAAATTCATGGAGTGGGAAGTAAGACAGCTCAGGGCTACAGTGCCAGCATGAACATCTGAGTTCCATCCACACAGTGCAGCAAGTGAACCAATTGCCCTAACTGTCCTCTGACCACCATAGGTATGCCATGGCTCAGGTTTCCCCTTCCTCCTACAAATTAGTGTAGTTAAAAAGCAAATCCTGAAAAAATTATATTAAAATTAAAATAATATTTAAATTGGCCCTCTAAGTCAATGTCAAATTGACAGTACATTTTGACAAAACAAGAATGAATTAGATGTCTAATCTTTATTTATAAGAAAATGTGTATTAATAATGTATTTTAGAAATCAATGTCCTTAAGACTTTTTTCATTGAAAACTTTACCTCTTTGAACATACCTGACTTTGAAAACATCTGATATAAGTAGCCTAAAAATGTAATAGGAACAATACAATCTCCTCTTATTCTTTCTAGATGTAAACAGATTATTCAGTGGTTAAAAGCACTCATTGTTCTTGTGGGGGAGCCAGGATCAGCTCCTAGCACCAAGGTCATGAGCCACAAGCACTCACAACTCCTGTTCCAGGGGATCTGACACCCTCTTCTGACCTCTGTAAGCAATGGGAATCTATATGGTACATATACATACATATTCATACATATACACACATGCAGGCAAAACACTCATACACATAAAATAAATGGGAATCCATATGGTACATATACATACATATACATACATATACATATATGCAGGCAAAACACTCATACACATAAAATAAGCAAGTTTTTTTAAACTTTCATTTGCCTCACATTCTTAAAATAAAAATAAAATAGAGAACTCCAGCTTTCAATGGAAAGAAATTCTTGGCCTTTCAAAATAAAAAGCATATCTCTTTAACAACCTTTTTTTTTTTCTGGACAACTATTTTGAGCCAGGCAATTCTCTTCTCTGGACCATAAACTACATTGCTATTCAAATAAATAGAATTATCAGCCCTGTAGGCATTTCTTTTATTTACTCATGAGGCCAGGATGGTTTAAAAATAAACACTATAATACACTGGACTTTACTGTGATAAAGGACAGAAATTGCCATTCGAGGGGCTGCATAAACTTCATTATAACCTTGCTGCAACGCTCCAAAGCAATTCTGCAAAGAAAGCATATACTGAGGTTTATCCTTTGTAGAGAAGTTTGTAACCTAAAAATACATTTATATGTTTTATTCCCCAGCGAGAGACTGGGATAATTCTGACATCTATGCTATCAACAGTCCTCAGGGTCTGAATTACTGTCCTCATTTTAAAGCCTCTACAAAGTTTCAGCCTTATGGCAGAAGGCTGGGCTCATCTCATGTAAGTGATGGGGCACAAGCAGAACCCAGGCAGGTGAGTCCCAGGCAGCAGGGTCTTCCCACCATAGCTTGGAGAAGAAAAGAGAGATTCGTGTCATCTAGCATGGTACTGAAATGTTGGTCCCTCTGAGTATCATGTCCCTCCCAACTATTATGAGGAATAAAAATATTTGTCTAATTTTATGAAAATACAAGAAGATAATGCCCACAATGCTTCAGTGAGCCCTACTACATTCTCCAAAACATAATTTTCTAATTTTCATTTGTTCCATTGTGTTCTTGTTGCTAACTTGGGGTTTCACCTAGACTAGGCTAGCCTCAAACTTGCTGAAACACTGAAAATGAACATGGCCCCTGATGATGCTTCTGTTGTCTTCACCTACTATGGGCTGGGATTAGAGGCATGTAGCACCATGCCTTACTCATGAAGTGCTTGGGGTGGAGCTCAGGGCTCTGTTCACACTAAGCAAGTACTCAATCAACTGAGTTATATTTTTTATCCTTTCTATTTGTTTGTGTGTATATTTACATGTGGGCTTGAATCACATGTGAGAAGGTCACAGGGCAATCTATGGGAATCAATTTGTTCCTTCCACTATGTCTTTACCTGATGAATTATCTTGCTGCCCCAAATATCTAATTTTTTAAAAGCATAGCTAGATTTGGATTTTTAACTTAATACAAACCAGTCTTTGCTACAGCACAGGAACAGTATTTTTCTGAGCTACAATTCTTTCAGTAAAAATTCTTTATTGACTAGTATTACATAGTAACCTATTTGAGGAAATCTAATATTTTTTCCACTAGACAACTCCACTTACACAGAACTTGGTCTTAATTAGCTATACAATAGAAGTGTCTAGGATATTTAGGTCAGCTCAGGCTTCTCGGGTTTTTGTTTGTTTTCTTTCCCTTCGGTCTGGAGAATAATCAGTTCCTTGGCATTTGACAAGGCTACTGATACAATGGCTCCTCTGTGTAAGCTGAGGTTGACTGACTGTGAACTGTAAATAAAGTCTGGAGTCAGGAAGCATGTCTAGAAAGTTTCCCCAATGGAGGACTGGGGGTGTAACCAAACTGACAGAGTGCTTGCTTAGCACACTCCAAGTCCTGGGTTCAATTCTCAGCTTTGTGTTAAAGGATGTGGTGATTTATACTTGTAATCTCAGCACATCGGAGGTACAGAGGATCAGAAGTTCAAGGTCATGCTTGGATACATAGAGGGTTTAGGGGCAGCTTGGAGTACAAGATACCCTGTCTCAGAAAAAAAGAAAAAAAAAGAAAAAAAAAGAAAAAAACGAAAACCAAAACCAAACAAACAAAAAAAACCCACCACCACCACCAACAACAACAAAAAACCTATAAAGAAAGTTCTTTGTCTTTCTTATACCCCAAACAAGAAAGTTGCTGAAGGCAAAAGACTTTGTAAGAGCCACAGGAATGTTCTTGGAGGCTTGGAATCCTCCAAGGAGGTTAAGTTCATGTGTTCATTAAATGGCAACGCATTATGATTAAAGTTTTCAGGAATCTCTCACTTTCATGTAATTCTAGATTCTTTTAATTTTATCTATTGAACACAATATGCTATAACGGAGCGATAAGTCTTCCAATCAAAAATGATCAGAGGATATTTCCCCATAAAATGAGATTCAACTATTTAGGTTCTGAGAAATATGTTGAAAAAATATTTGTGTGTGTACTTAGAATGTAACAGATAGACTATCCAGAGGCTAGATATAAGCACTTAGCACACTAATGCAGTGGCTTGGGCCTCCAGATTCACATTAGTCCCTGCTTAAGAATTCTGGAACGATTCTTTTTACTTTACTGTTCTTTGTGAACAGCTCTCTTGGGAATCTAAAAGAGTAAAGTAATAAGCCATTGTCAAGTATACATGACAGAGAGTCTATGCCTAATAGAATTTGATGTAACTTGACTAAAACTGAATGAGTCAAGAACCTATTACCTCACAGACATGGTGTCATACAGAACTGAGAATCAGAACCTAGGGATATTATAATACCTTGAAGTGGGTTTCCATCTTAAGCACAGATTAAGAACTGTGTTTTGGCTCAGTATGTAGCCCCATGTTCTCCTTAGAAAAACCAGTGGGTGTGTATTCATTGGAAATGTGAGTAAAGGAAAGAGTCCCAGGACTCTGAATGAAACAAGCTGTACTGCATCTGAGGAAAATCAATGTCAAGTGTGACTGTTCAGACATCAGAAAGTTTCTAGGTATGCTTTTAACCTAAATGGAAATTACCATGAAGATTGTAATGTACACATTGCTGATGAGATAGGAAAAGAGATGTATAGTCACTTGATATTATGAATGCTAACTTGTGGATGGCCTCTGCTAGACAAAATAAACAAATTCCAATGACACAGGACAGCCTTCTCCAAGCAGTAGGCATTCTTTTGGAAAACTATCAGAAGATGGTCACAGGATGAAAATCTCTGAGGCCCCTGATGACCCTTGAAGCTTAGGGCTGGCTAATAAGAAAGCATGATAACCAATAATAGATCTGATGATCTTATTGACCCCAAAAGGGAAAGGTTGGGGGCATGTCAAAGAAGTGAATCAAGGTGAATGTGTATCACTGTCACATCAATCTTAGTTGTAAATAAGTTTATAGATAAACACAAAATGCCAAAGTATATGTGTATTCCTCAGTGATATCTCATTCTGTCTTGACTTGGTAATGGAAGTCGTCTAAGCTCTATCTTTGAACGCAGGGTCATTGCCACAACTGACTTTTCTCTCTCTTTCTCTTCAGGCCCTGCTGCAAAAAAGAAGTATGTCAGTTATAATAACCTGGTTATCTAATCTGTTCCATCCCATGGAACCACGGAGGAAGAAGACCTTCAGTTATTCTATCACCTAGCCTGGCATAGGACTCTTTTGGTCCTGCCCGCTTTCTATCTCTGGAGGAGCTTCTCCACCCGGGAGAGCAATGTTAGAGGATCCACACATCCAGAACAGCTGCTTTATGAGACATCTTTACTTTATCTTGGCTTAAGAAGTCATTGGCATCAGCACTGCCATCTTGGCTGCAATTCTGGACTCCCTAAACAAAGGGAGAGTTGAGACTCAAGTCCCACCCGGCTCTTTTGGATGAACCGCTGAGAGCCTCAGGACTGTTTTTTTTGGGGCTGACATGTCTTTCTACGTACGTACTTCCAGGCTGCAAGGTTTTGAAATTTTCTGTACAGTTTGTGAGGACATTTGCACTTTGCCACTCAATGTCGTACCTCGGTTCACTGTTTGTTTTTGAATGCCCTGTTTTCATAGAATTTTATCCTCTCAGATGGTGGAATCTTTGAGGAAACTTTAAAGTAACTAATTTTTATTTAAAAAAAAATCTCGGCAGACATAAGAGAACACAACCCCCCATGCACATCTGTAAATGACTGTATGGTTATGATTATAGTACCACGAAAGATCATGGTTTTGTTTATTTTTTAAAACACACACACAAAAAGATACTTAAAGACCAAAAACTGTGCTGAGAAGATATGCCCTACCTATCTTTGGTACATGATAGGTGCTGTGATGGGAAAAGAAAGCACTGGATAAATGGGATAGAGGTCTTGATCTTTGGAATGCATGCCGGTAATGTATTTTACAGTATGTTAATAATTTATGTTTAATATTTGTATTTGTGTTCTCTTTTGTTATTTTACTTAGGATATATGGATTTTTGCAATAATTTTAATGATTCTTAAGCTATTTGAAGGAAAGAATATGGATTTCTCATGTCTTGAGGTTTTGTTCATTACCCCCATGACTGACCAATGTGATAAGGACTTTAAAAAAGAAGCATGTATGTTTTTTACTGTTTGTAAGAAGTACTTTCGTTAATCTTGCTGCTTATGTGTCAATTTAGTGGAAAAAAATCCCTTGCTGAAAAAAAAATTCCCTTTCCATTCTCTTCCAGTTCTGTGGTATTGTCCAAGAATGTATCAATAAAATACTTTGGTTAACTTTTTTATTTTCTGTAGTAAGTGCTTTAGTTGTTCTCCCCAGCCTACCCCACACCCATTGGTTTACAGCTTATTTGAAACCCTGGGCTATAGAAAACTGGGTACAGCTCAAGTCTTAAACTTCCAATTACAGTGTGTGTGAAATGCATAGTGCCTAGAGACACTGATGTGGCCTCCTGGAAAAGGGACAATCACAAAACCCAAGTATTCTTTCCTAGTATAAATGAAGTTCAATCCTTAAAAATTCTCAGATGCTAACTCAACAAGTTGCCTATCAAAAACAAGTAACAAGAAAGACAAGACAAAGAAATACTTGCTTACAGGAAGAGTACACTGCAAAAAAAAATCGATAAAAAGATAAACATTTCTAGAAAACTGAACTGAAAGGACCTAGAGAACAGGCACAAACAATGGAGACAATGGATTTGGTTTTGCATACAAATATGGTATTGAGGTTTGTAGAAGCAAGATTAAAACTCAGGACTCTAGAAAAAACACAAAACAAAACAAACAAATAAGCAAAAAACTAGGGAACCACTCACAGCAACATAAACTCCAGAAATATACCATTATCTTCTGATACAGGGCCTTAGCACTCTAAGTGGGTCCCCAAATGCAATATGTATTAAAATATTACCGGGCTGGACAAGGTGGGGAATAGCTCAGATGACAAAGCAATTTTTATACAAGCAAGAAGACCCTAGTTTGATCTCCAGAATCCATGATAATAAAAAGCCAGACTTAGTGTTGTGGACTTGTAATCTCTGAAGTGGAGAGGTGAAGACTGGTAGACCCATGGAACATTCGAGAAGGTGACAAGCCTATTAGGTGACTTCCAGACCAGCAGGAGTCCCTGTCTCAGTTGACCTCTGTCACACCTCTGTCATGTACACACACACACACACACACATACACACACATACACAGAGAGAGAGAGAGAGAGAGAGAGAGAGAGAGAGAGAGAGAGAGAGAGAGAGAGACCAGAGACAGAGAGAGTGTGTAGAGAGAGAAAGAGAGATGCACACATATATATACATAAAACAGATTTGGTAAACAGCTAGATTAGATGATAGATAGATAGATGATAGATAGATAGATAGATAGATAGATAGATAGATAGATAGATAGATAGATGATAGACAGACTGACAGACAGTAGACAGGTACATAGATGTTCAATAAATATTCCCTTGTCAATATTTTTTTCTACAATGCAAAGTAAAACCCTCATATTTTTTCCTACTTTTGTTCTCTGTTGAGTTTTTCCTTAGTCCCTTGTGAGTAATGCTCTCACAGAGACTCCAAAACTCATTTTAGTATCAGACTGCAGAAAATAAATTGCCCTTCCCAATGTCTCCTATCCCTTCAACACCCTCAAACTAATAGACCGTGGAGAAATTCCAAATCAAAGAAGAAACACATTTTAAATCATCCACATTTTTTTCTCAAGTTGTAGAGTCAAACCCTGTACAGAAAGAAACTGGATGCTCTTTTTGCTTACTTGTAATCAGGTAGGTTATATAAACATTCTCCATGTCCTTAGCTAGAAAATGACTTGGATAAAATCTACCTCATCTATTGGATAGAAAGGAAGAAGGGAGAATTTCCTCCCAGGGATCTCAAAGCTACTTGACAAATGACTACTCAACATGGCAGGACCATGGCTTTTGTGACAACTAGCATCAACATTAGTGGTTATATTTTTTCTTTTCTATTTTTTATTAACCATTCCATTCATTTACATCTCAAATAATATCCCACCTCCCAGTTACCATTCCACAACCCCCCCCAATCCCACATCAGACATCTCTTCTCCCCAACCCACCCTCTCCCACCCTCCACCCTTTCCTATCCCCCAACCCTCTACCACTCCACCCCTACAACATCCCCCTAAACTGGGTCATCAAACCTTCACAGAACTAAGGGCCTCTCCTCCTGTTGATGTCAGACAAGGCTATCCTCTGCTACATATGTATCTGGAGCCATGGATCCCTCCCTGTATACTCCTTGGTTGGTGGTCTAGTCCGTGGGAACACTAGGTGGTTGGGCCAGGCACTGCTGTTCTTCCTATGAGTTGCAATCCTCCTCTGCTCCTCCAGTATTTCCACCAGCTCACCTACCAGGTCCCTGAATTCAGTATGATGGTTTGCTCCAAGCATCCACAACATTTGTGTTGGTCAATTGCTGACTGTATCTCCCAAGGATCAGCCACATCAGGTTCCTGTCAGCAAGCACCTCTTGGCAATGGCAGCAGTGTCAACAGTGTCAGGGTTTTGTGTGTGCAGACAGAAAGGATCTCCAGGTGGAACAGGCCCAGATGGTCCTTCCTTCAGTCTCTGCTCCATTTTTTGCCCTAGTTTTTAAAGCAAATTTAGTCTTACAGGGCTGTCACCTTCCAGATGAGGAAACACTCAATAATATACCATGTGAACATCTCAGGCTGTGTGGTGGCCCTATGGTAGAATTACTTTCATTAAAAAATTACACAAAAATTTTTCTTTTTCGTTTCTTCAGTGTTCAACCAAGAATGCAGAAAAGCTAGTAAATGCATATGGTTCTTAGGGTAGGACAGGGCTCCTTCTGAAAACACCTGTTCTATGCATTCATCTCCACAGTATAACTGAACTAATAGTGGTTGGTCATGATGAAAAAGGGAATGGTACAGCACTATAAGAAATTATTAAATATATTATGTAGTTTATATAGGCTTTGCATGTTATATACATTGAAACGTGCATCTATATACATTTGCTTACTCCTCAAATCCACTTCTAATACCTTGCACCACTTGCATCTTCCACTAAGTGTTTGGGATTAAAGATTGTCTGTAGCCATAGAGCAAGTGCATCTCTACTTGTATCTGGTGTGTACCCCTCAAAGGTCCTTTCTATGCTGAATGCAAAGTTCCAGATTAATACTTTTGGCAAATGGTAGAAACTATGAGCAGTGAGATCTAGGAAGAAATGTTCAGATCATTGGGGGTGTTACCCAGCACAGTTCCCCCTAATAGTCCTCATTCCTCGCCAGTATTTTGTCAATCATTATCATGTCTGGTCTTTTGATACTGTTTGAAAGGACAGTCTTTTACCAGTATCCCAGGGGAGTAATTTACTTATTTTATTTTTCTTTATGTAATTTATGATTATTTGAGTTTACACATTTATTTTACTGCTTTCATCTGCCCATCTTTAGTATTCTGTTTCAGAATGTCAGATACTTTCAGTTTTGCTCTTAGTAATTTCCTAACAGACTAATGCTCGACAGCAGATTATCCTATAGATATTTGCATATGAGTCACAGAAAGAAGGAGTGGATGAATGAAGTTCACAATGGAAGGAACATGGCCAGAGATCTAGAAAAGGCCATGATGTTAAGGGTGCTCAGCTCCATATGGCATCACAGCTGGGACTCCAAATCTGAACAAGACTCTAGTAAGGATGAGGAAAGGAAGAGGGATGTGTGAACATTCCACTCTCAGACTCCATGCCGGGGTAGAAGGATAGATCTCTTTTAATCTGAAGATGAACCTGCCTTCTGGGGTAAGTAAATTGGGAATTTGATGAAGACAGATAAATATCCAAAATCAGAATGCTTTCCTTAAACGAAAGGACTCACATGCAACACCACCCAGTAGTTGGCACTAATGAGGCTGAGGCGGGAGAACTATCATGTGTTGAAGACCAGGCTCAGCTATAGAGTGACACTGTCACTGAAAACAAACAGAAGAACAGATAAGATACAAAGAAACCAGGGAGGCGTTGGAGTAGGAAGGCACTAGACTCCTTATTAGAATTCTGTTGGGTTAGAGCTCTGAGCTCTGCTTCTTCAGTGTCAAAGGACAGAATTACAATTTCAAATCTTAATTGGCTCTCTTTTTAAGTCTCAAATTGGGCAACTCTTCAGTCCATAAGATGGATTATGTCTTCCAGCAAGCCAAGCAAATGAGGTTGGCTTCATAGAAAAAAAAAAAAAAGCAATGGGAAGCAGATGGGTCATCTCAAAGTGACTTTCCTCATAAGGAACAGGGAGATTGAACAGCCACCAAATAACTAATTGGTCAATTTCAGTTGTCTTTTCCTGAGGCTAACTAAGGTCAGGGGTTCTTCACTTCCATGCATGTGGAAAGGGGCCAGTTGGGCACAGTTCTGTTTTACCTCTCTGATCCTGATAAACAGCTTAGTCTTGGCTCCATGACATGGAACTTCAGCAGGAGTGGTTCCATTTTGATTTTCAGTCTGGTGTGTAGAGGCAGAGTGCAGGAGTTTAATCCAAAACAGTGGCTTCCTGTAATTTTTATTTAACACCAGCTATGAAATTTCAGGCAATCCGTGTATCCTGGGACTCTCTGCCTCTTTATCTTTGTAATGGAGATGGGATATGCATGCAAATCTCTGTCATTCATCAGGGAAACACTCTATCAATTTGTTCCAGAACATTAGTTCATTCTCAGAGTATGCCAACCAAGAATGAACACCATCAACAGAAGCAGCATTGGACGTGGTAAGCAGGGTCCAACATGGGTAAGAATAATCACTCCATTGCTGTCACCACAGCAGACACAGCCTGGGGTATCCAGCAACATTTTTGGCAGCAACTTCCTACAGACAAAGGCAATTAGACTCCAGTGAGCATCCCAGAGCCCCTAAGCCAACTGCTTCTGTTGTTATTTCCCAATTCATATTTCCTCTATAATGGATCCTCTTGAAATTTTTGCTTTATAATATTGTCTTCAGTGTCTCCAAAGTCCTAATACATAGAAATATTCTCCTCCCTTCCAACATCAGTCCTGGTGGTAAAGATACCTTGTCAATCCTCACCTAAGACACTGATAACATTCTGACTGAAGCTGAATATGGCCCTGGAAAATTCTACAGAGATGTGAGGTTTTGGTACTTCAGCAGTATCAGATGGAAAATAAGTCTTGTCATTTCATCATTTAGAATGAACAAATCACTACAGGGACAATTAGTCTGAGTTATTCTCTCTCATATATAACAATAATAAACATG